CTAACTTTGACAGTGTGCTACATAATAAGGCTTTATTACAATTCTATCACTACCAGTCGATTTATTTCCTAACTATATGCTAACTTTGACAGTGTGCTACATAATAAGGCTTTATTACAATTCTATCACTACCAGTCGGTTTATTTCCTAACTATATGCTAACTTTGACAGTGTGCTACATAATAAGGCTTTATTACAATTCTATCACTACCAGTCGGTTTATTTTCTAATATTATCAATGGATATACCCAATTAAATATTATCATTTGTTTCAGCACAGTTAAAACTAGAAGAATAGCCAAAAAACATTCTATGCAATATAATACTAGCTCAATATAGAATATATTTGCAACCAAAATCAAAACTTGTCAAATTCTGCTTCAAATTTTATATTCATTATGCTATATTCAGCAGTGTCAGTCTCTACAGATGTGTAACTGACAGAATTCAAGGGTCATTCTTAATAGTTCAACACCTACATATAATGGAAAAAAAACCTGGCAAAAATAAAAATACACATATTACTTGTAAGTTTAATCTCAAACAACAAACTGTACAAGGTATACCAAATCACACGTGACATCTTAAGTGTCCCTACCTTACCTTCTAAAACATAAAGCAACAAGCTTTACAAAGTATAGCTGTAACAATTCTTACCTAACTGTACTAGTGCTGGAAGGACTATCTTGGACAGACTCTGAATGAACCACTGAGCAGGTTGATGAAGGTAGGAGGGACAAGTCAGACTGGTGAATAATATTAATAAATATCAACTATAAAATGTTTAAAACGCATGATAGAGCAATACTTATTTAAGTGTAAAAGCTAAAAAAAAATATTTATAAACAACACACTTCTTGGGAATACAAAGACAAACAAAATACACGATCTAAATGACCAGATAAATCTTCCATTGATGATGTAGGACCTGGCTAAAGAAAGGAATGCTGCAGTTTCTATATATACACGGAGATTTAAAACATGATTGCTAAAACATCTATTTTAGTATCTACAGGAAAAGCTGAGAGTTTGGTTACTGGAAAAATCAACAATGTTCATCTAAGGCTTAGGAGATGTTTATTAAAATATCTATTACAGAGCCTATGCATAAATGGGGTGGTGTAGAGGATGGTTATTACACGATCTACTACAGTACTTGTATGTAATTAAAACGTGCCAGTACCCATATGTGAATGTACAACAAACTATTTTACTCGTACATATAATTTATAATATAGTTTACCGAAATAAACAACAACAAAATACAACTGGAGTTTTGATGGTTTCAAAGAAACAAATATACATTAAACAGGCAACTAAGTTTAAAATTTTGTAATTTTGAACTTATCTCAGAGAAAAAGTTTCCCATTCCACTGAATGAGAAAAAAAGACATTATAAACAACATCACAGGTAAGTGCCGATCACAACAAATCAGCCAATAAAACTTGTCATTTGGATATATTTATTGTTATTGACCAGTCTTACAAATCACACACCTAGATCAGGCTACCCAATTGGTTTAATAATGACTGACACTGAAACTGTGAAATAAATTCTTCTTGTGATACTATTGCCAATACGAACTAATGCCATCAGGTCATTTACTGATTCATTTGAAGAATATTTATTGTTATTGACCAGTCTTACAAATCACACACCTAGATCAGGCTACCCAATTGGTTTAATAATGACTGACACTGAAACTGTGAAATAAATTCTTCTTGTGATACTATTGCCAATACAAACTAATGCCATCAGGTCATTTACTGATTCATTTGGATATATTTATTGTTATTGATCAGTCTTACAAATCACACACCTAGATCAGGCTACCCAATTGGTTTAATAATGACTGACACTGAAACTGTGAAATAAATACTTCTTGTGATACTATTGCCAATACGAACTAATGCCATCAGGTCATTCATTTACTGATTCATTTGAAGAATATTTATTGATTGTTTAGATTCTGCGAGTTGTGAAGTGTTTGTTTTTTGACAGTAAAATGGAAAGAATGTGAGTTGATGAAAAGCAGATCAAACAAGTCCTGATAATGAGTACCAGTGAGAACCTGCAAAATTTCACTTTTGTTCATGAACATGGAAGGTTTAAAGAATGGTTAGAAAGAAATCTACAACAATAGTTACATGTTCATGAAAAGTTTAGGGCATGGTTACAAGAAGTTCTTCTACAGTAGTTACATGTTCAGGAAAAGTTTAGGGCATGGTTACAAGAAGTTCTTCTACAGTAGTTACATGTTCAGGAAAAGTTTAGGGCATGGTTACAAGAAGTTCTTCTACAGTAGTTACATGTTCAGGAAAATATCTGCTATAGTACCTACATTTATTTGATTGCATAAATATTTCTCAATTTTCTGCTATTTGTATACAAACTTCTCAGTTCTCTTACCTGTGTTGTACAGATGCTACTGCTTTTCTGTGTAGTCCTAATAAAACAAAAATAAAATTAGAATCTTTTCTGGATGATATTCAAGTATCACAAGGTAGCTAAACATCTTGTAAAGATAAAGAAATATCATATCCCAAGTGTATCAAACTCTATTTCAAAATAGGTAAAAAATCACTTCAAACCAAAAAGAAAAATTCTTATGATAAAGAATGCCTTAAATGACAAGCATGATTTCTAGTGGTATTATGTTTTTATGCTACATTCAAGTAAGACTGGAATAATTTAAATCATATTATTCCAGTACACGTATATATGGTTAGTCAAGAATGGTGCGACTTAAACTAAATCACTCTCATTGTTATTACTTGAGTGAGTAAGGAAGCACATTATGCTAATATAATACACGTTCATTTGTCTTCTTTGGGTATCAATAAAACTCTTCCTTTCGCTTACCTATTGTCTTATTGTTAATTATATTTCATACATATATTACTACAGAAACAAGTGTTTACGAAGTTAACATTTTCCTTACTTTGAAATAAATAAATAAAGTTATTAAAGAAAAGTTATTTTGAATGAATAAATAAAGTTATTAAACAAAGTTATTTTGAATGAATAAATAAAGTTATTAAACAAAAAAGTTATTTTCAATGAATAAATAAAGTTATTAAAGAAAAAAGTTATTTTCAATGAATAAATAAAGTTATTAAAGAAAAAGTTATTTTCAATGAATAAATAAAGTTATTAAACAAAAAAGTTATTTTCAATGAATAAATAGTTATTAAAGAAAAAAGTTATTTTCAATGAATAAATAAAGTTATTAAACAAAAAAGTTATTTTCAATGAATAAATAAAGTTATTAAACAAAAAAGTTATTTTCACAATATATAAGAATATTGAGAATATATCTAACATAACTTGAAAATTGGAGATGATCAGGAATTTTGAAAATGATTTTTAGAAGTCAGCATCACCAAATTACACAGAAACAGTTGCATTTTTTCTAGTAGCAAAGAGATTTTTTGTTGTTGTTTCTAGCTTTACCTTTCACAAGGTTCTTCAGAATTACATACCAGACATTCTGGACTTTATATTCTTGTAAGTTGTAATGCACACCAGCATTAAATATACTAGTCATAGGTACCCATGTAAGCAGATTGCCATGCACCTACACTATTTAATTAAATGAATCAGGGTCAACCACAATAAATCACTATGTTAATGTAGTTGCCCCAAGCTGGTCAACAGAGGAATGGAGGTGTTGTGATGATCTGTTAGTGTCATCTTACTTGTGCAAACTATTGCTCAAATTATTTTTTATGCAAGTGCAAACTCATAGAAAATATTTCTTTATTTCTTTGGAATAATATTTTAAAATTGTAAACAGCTCTGAAATTTTACAAATTTCATACTTTCTAAAGGTGTATACAAAACCTGTCAATATTTAACATTTCAGTCAATTAAGCCCTATAAATACAAGGATATATTTTTTCAATTAAATAAATTGGTCTCACTTAATAACTTTAAATTACTACCACTGTAGTGATACTTCTATGATTCAATTTCTTTAAGGTATGCTTATCAAATAACTCAAAATTCCATACTTCTTAATTTAGCAAAATTAAATAAAAATTCTGAAAATTTTTTTATTGGAGTTTTAATTGACCTAAAATTAAAAAGGCCATGAATAGACTATACAAAAAAATAGTTTTTAACTTGATCACAACAGGTTATGTAATTAAATATTACCTAAAAAATGTATTTCTGTAATACAATTTTCTTTCTTTTTTGAACTACCCATATTATTCTCCGAGTAGATTATGTTAATTACTTTTTTTTATTGAAACTAGCTAAAAGAGAGAGATTTTTAAGAAACTTTAAAGATATGCATCACGGTGCTGCTACCTTCTGAGCAGAACAATAAAAGTCAAAATTTATTCTTGATTAACAAATTTATTTTCCTATTATATTTCAATTTTATAATTACAACCATCTTGAGTTCTTTACAAGTTTAGTTAATGTATTTTCAGATTTTTAAAGTTCCTGCTACAAGCTAAAGACACTCAAAACCCTCCTTTTTAACAGAGTAAATTATAAATATTTTTTGAATGTCAACCAATTTACACAGTTTTTCAGTCCTTTATGATACGAAACGGAAACCATTTTTTAATTGTTTTACAACTATTTTTGAATATCTTTCTCTTTACTGGACATAAAAATTTATAACCTTACATTGTTGAAGATGTAATATCATCTTGGTCGTCACTAGAGTTTATTACATCTTGCTCTTCTTCTTTATCATCTAGTAGAGTAAAAAAAAAATTGTTGAATTTTTTTGAAATAAAACAGAAATATGAGAGACTTTCCAATGTATTTTTGTACTTAAAATACAAATGATCATTCAATACATGTTATAACATGAGTTAATACAAAAGTCTGAAATGGTAAGATCAAAATAAATGTGATGAAATATTTACAATACATAGCCAGGGATTAATCAATATGTAAGAAAATTACATAATTTCTTAATTCTTTATATTTTTTGCTGATGTTAGTGAAAGAAAATTGGCTGAATTTCAGAAAAATCACTATATATATTTTGCAAATCAATGATGTTAATTGCAAGAGCTGAACAAATTCCTTTGAATTTCATTCTTAAATAGAAACAGTCATTCTCTAACAAATACCCTTTTCACCAAAAAACATGTAACATAATTTCACTGATGAGTTATATTATTTTGGGCTGCTACTTCTTTACAACTATGAAAGAAAAACATACAGCTATGTAATACTAGAAGCCAGCTAAAACTTTTAGATATATATAACAATTCGAGTACAGGGTACATAACATGCAAGTCCTCCAAAACTATGAAAATGAAATTCAAAATCTTATTGTCTTGAATACATCTGTGAACCTGAATACTTACTATGGAAGATAAAAGTTTATATATAAATATATCTCCTGACATAATATAAATATACTACTGTTGTAATATGGTTTATCATTTGGTGTGTTCTTTTGAACTATTTGGCAAAAGTAATGCTAAGTTCAATCTGTGAAATGATAATAACTTTATTTATTTATCTAATAAGCATTTGCTTCAGTCTCATTCAATTGTAAGTCTAATTTCTTAATTAAACTTTTCAACATCAGCTCCAAAATTATTATAGGCCTAACTTGAAATACAATATTTCAATAGAAATTCTGAAACTAACGATAGATATGACTTACTTAGTTTAGATCATTAAACACACACACTATGTCACTGAATAACTTATCTCACACTGAACTAACTAAATCATCACTGATTATCTTCACTTACATTGTAACCTTGTTTCTTATTACAGGAAGCTTCTCGATTCTTAACTTTCATGATCTTTGGTTTAGACACCTGTCCTTTTTAATTCTGTAAACCATATCATTGATTCTTTTTAGTGCAGAATATGGCTCTTCTCAGTACGTGCTTAACTTTGGAGTTTTTCTTTTCTTGCATTGGGATTGAATAGCCATATTATGTCACCTCAATGATATATCCAGTCTAATGAGCATTAGCATCATAGTGGCTTTTATTTTTATTACAACCTGATTTAAGTCTTTTACATGTGAAGTCATGTATGACATTTCTAGTCTACAAGTCCATGAGAGCTCATCAGACCCTCAGGATATGCTGGAGTGTTTGATACCACTATACCCCAGTCATTAGATGTAGATTTATTCCTAATACAAATATTTCATTTCTTGGTAATACAATGAATATCCTCCTGTTTTTATTTCAAACTCTAGTGTAGTGAACTTGAAACACCTGGTCATAGACTGTGAAGCTAGCCTAACCTAGCACCAATGTCTCTGCATGAAATCAGTTCCCAATATGCACTCTTCCTTGATGTTAATTACCCACAAACTATGAGGTGTAGAGAAACACCCTACCATAAGGGCAACTTCCAGCTTTCCTCTTCTTGATTTATGTCCATCTGTTGTTCACATCAGTCTCTTTTCCTTCATCATCTTTGGAGACAAATTCCTACCTTTTCATTGCCAAATAAGGTCAAAATATTGTAGTTGCACAAACCAATGTTGATCAACATACTGAAAGGCTTCCCATCAATATATTCATGGACTAGTTTCTATAAATAGTGGATTTCTTATCTCATTTGGGTCAGGTGTGGTATTCTCAGCTGAACTTTGTCTAAATATTAAACTAAATATTAAACATTCTTATTTTCAGTAAAGCTTTATATAATATTTGTTATTTTCTTTACTGTAACATTATACTTGATTCTCCAGGCTGTAGGTAAATAATCAAAGTATAATGAAAATACAGATTGCAAATGCAAAATAAAATGTATAGTATTGTTAGTATTGATCACAAAACTTCAAAGTACTTATGGTCAGAGTTTACACATCTCACCTTTTCACACTTATTTTCTGTAGTTATTTTATTGTTAGCAGATGAGTTAAAAACTAGAAGAAACAAAATGAATAGTGCTCTGTCCTTTTCAATATGGACAATGAAGGTCTAGAGTAAATCTCCTGAGAGTTTCTTCTAATCTTTTTACGCCAATTTCCTATTGTTATTATACTGTTAGCGGCTGAAGTAGAAACCTGCCTAATATAAAGCAATGAATCACTGTTCCTGTTTAGGTGTTACTGTACTTTGAATACTTTGACACTGTCAATCTATCTATATACTACTAAAACTCTGAGATTGTTTGTTTGCTTGTCTGTAATTAAATACAGCAAAAAATGGCGCACAATAGCGCCATATTTGTAATGAAATGAAAGCAAATTTCGTTAAAATCAAGCCATGGGTTGCCAAGTTAGCCCTGTTTTTCGGGGCACTTTTATGAAATTTCTAGATCAATTTTAAGTACGCTAGATGGCGCCACATATCGGTTTATCTTTAGTTTTCCACCTGATGAACC